GTAAAAAATGGCATAGATTTGGGCCGTCTTTTCGGTAATTTAGAGGACGTAATACTCGTGTCTAATATTTTGATACAAAAACTGGAAGAATCGACATTAATGAAGAAATACGAGCACCAAATGATTGGCAAATGTTTTCTTGAAACACTGGACCAAATGAAAGTGGCGTATAGTTTGTATTGTGAGAATCACGACCAGTTGCAACCTCTTTGGATCAAATATCAAGGTTTGTAAAGCAATTCAACATTAAATGTGTAGTTAATTACATGTACATACTGTACATTACATTACAATAATTTATTTATTATTAGCAATTGCTATACTTTGTTATTGCTAAGCTTGAAAACTGTGTTGCTTTTGATAAATGACATGCTTTGATAATTTTAAAATAATTTTAAACAGAAAATACATGATTTATTTGTAGGCCAATTGGAAGCCAAACAATACCTACAGAGAGGGTTGGATGTAATGCGAGAAAAGACCAACTGTTTTGACATACCATCGGTGCTCATAAAACCGGTGCAACGAATACTCAAATATCCATTGCTTTTAAATGAATTGCATAAATGCACTGAAGACGGACACGAAGACAAACCGGATCTGATTCTGGCCATCGATCGCATCGCCGATATGGCCACTCATATCAATGAATTCAAACGCAGACAGGATTTGGTCTACAAATACCGCACCGAATCATCTCATAAACTCACGTCTCGTCTTTCGAAACTCAATTTACATACAGTTATAAAGAAAGGCTCGCGTTTGGGACACAGAATCAGCTCTACGTTAGGTCTTTCTAACGTCACTAAAGTATTACAATCAAATTGAACTTGATAATTATGGTCTATGCGATAGAGCTACCCTTAACTCCCGCCCCACTAACATACACACAATCTAAATTTATAATGTTCCGTAGGGGAAACGCGAATCAATTTTGACTGGGCAACTCAATCATATTGATGTCAATTAGAAAAATGTTGCCTGATAATGTAGTAATCGATCGGTATATAATATGCCATTGTAGCTATCATAGTTATTTTTCTATGTGAATTATAAGAATATAAATAATTTCCATTGAAAAACAATGGCTTTTTTGCACAATTTTTTACTTTTACAAGTTATACTTTTGTCAATTATTTTTAATCTAGATATAATTATAAAAAGTTAACACACTGAAGTTTTATCCACACATGAGATGTATACTTTGGCTATTTCATAATTTATTTTAAATTACCTGTATTATATGGAACGAAGGGTTTGTATAGCTTAAAAACTACTAGATGAATTTAAAAATTCTATATGTCAAAATGTTCAAGGTGACAAATAAGTGGACACGTATTTCAGGATTTCTTTAAATAAATAACCGAATTAAAGAGCAGATGTCTTAAGCGCATAAAATTCTAAATTTCATTTGCTTGCCAATTAAAATTTACTCAATTATTTTTAACACACAATAGTTCAAATTGACCAGAATTAACAATAGAAAAAAGTAATTTCTTAGATTCTTAATATTCTATATAATTAATTAATTTTTCATAAAAACAAAACTTGTATAATTATTAATATTGTTTATAATATGATGACATCAAAATTGGCCTCTATTTGTACACATTTTCAATGGTTTTCAATGGAAATTATTTATATTCTTATAATTCACATAGAAAAATAACTATGATAGCTATAATGGCATATTATATACCGATCGATTACTACATTATCAGGCATCATTTTTCTATTTGACATCAATATGATTGAGTTACCCAGTCAAAAGTTATTCGCGTTTCCCCTACGGAACATTATAAATTGTTTGTGTGTATCTCACTTATGGGTTCGGTCTTAAGTGATTGTTACTTGAGTTAGTTTTATGGCTAAACGGTTATTGTTTATGTGAATCAAGTGTTGAATAATGTTATTGCTATTTGCTATGTGTAATGACAATACTATTGATCTCTTTTTCTATCCTTAAAAGGACGACGAGTTTAATGGAGTGATGCAGAAGTTTCGAGCCGTCGAGAAGACAATTAAGATCTTCGCTAAAGACAAGGAGGCGTTTATGAAATCAGTGGAAGACTTCTCTAAGCAGGGTTTGATTGCAGTGGAAGCCATCGCCGAGTATTACGATAAGAGGAATAAGCAACAAGAAGTGGATCAGTTGAGGACAACTCATAGAGTTATGGTTCAACAGTATTGGCAACAATTTGATTCACAAGTAAATACTGATGTGACGCCAGTATTGGATAAATTGATGGCTAAATTTTCGGGTATATTAACAATTGGCGATACAATGTATATTTATTGAGGTTTTAATTGATTTGTATGTTATTTAGGGCCCAATAAACTTATAGCCAAACGTTTCGACAAACTCACTGATTATGATTCGTCGTCTAAGAAACTCGAGTGCAATAAAGACACGACACGACAGAGAGGTCTTCAAGAACAGCAACAGTTGGCTAAACATGTCTACGAAGCGCTCAACACTCAACTCATTGAAGAATTGCCACAACTGTGCGCTCTATCGTTGCAAATACTTGACGATTGTATACAAGCTTTTCTATTAGCCCGCAAACGGCTTATCGGTCGCATTGCTAAACACCACTTAGCGCTTCTCGAGTTGCCATTAGTGCTGGGTTTTGCTAACGGCTCGTCGGCCGACATAACCGAGACTTTTCACATCAAACATAACTTAATTACTGAGAAACTGTTGGCAGAGATTTCCCTTTTGTCGACACAAACATTTCCAAACGTTACCACTTCTCTTGGTTTTCACTCATCACAGTCTGATTTGAGAAGACAATCCACCCGTTCTTCCAGAAGGAGTTCCCAATTAAGCAATGTTAACATATCGGTAGCTAAAACTGTTGGCGTCAACACCAATACAAATAAAAATGTAATATTTTAAATATGTAACACAATTTAGTACTGGTAGAAAGGCTGTAGTTATAGGTTTAATCAATCTTATAAACCACACTTGTGTGATATAGTATTGCAACTGTTGTTATACATTAGGCTAATGTAATATGTAGTTTTGAATTAATACTATTCTTATAAGAATACTGCAATAATATAAATATATAGATACACATATTTGCAATAATGTATAGAAATAAGTACGATATAATAACAAGTGACAAACTTATAATTTGATTCACTTTCAGGTGAATCAGTCGGCATCACAGCGTATGTATCTTCAGGCTCGATACCAATCTCATCAGTTATATGTGGCGACAGCCGCTTACGAGGCCATCGATGTGTTGGACATATATCTAAATGTTGGTGATTTAGTAGGTGTTGTTAAAAGACAAGACCCAATGGGGAACAGCCATCGGTGGTACGTCGACACCGGTAGTGCTCAGGGATTCGTTTTGTCAAACATTTTGATTGTATATCACGACGACTCGTGGGTTACACCTCCTAACGCTCCCGAAATGAGCGCTCGACCGCAAACTTTATACGAAAGTCCAGAAAAGGTATTGATCACTACTTTTACTCTTTAAATCATTTGATTCATGTATTTTTAACTTTATTTCTACATTATAATTAGTTTTTCTTAACACATATTTTTAATATTTATTAACAAATGTAGAGAGCGTTATGTTTTAGCGAAAACCAAAAATCGCTTCAAAGCCAATACAACTCGAGTCCACTTAACGACAGCTCAAACTCGGGCTCATCGTTAGCACAACATCAATACAAAGTTCATCCAACGCCTGACTTTCCCGTCCATTTGCGGCACGACATCGAAACACATCGTTACGAAGAGGTGAATGACTCGCCCCCTCGCTATAGTCGGCTCGATATACCTAATAGTCGGGACAATAGTCTACTCTCTTTTGATGAGAGCGTCGACGAGAAACAGCGGTTCCAAAACAAACTCGACCACAGTTTTGATGAATTTGATCCTTTGTATGCATCAAATGATCCACAATTGGCCTCAACTATCGGTTTGACCACTTGTTTTCCCCAATTATATTATTTGCGTTTATATTGAATATTTCATATAATAGCGTCGACTGATCACCGATACGAAGAGGTTCCCGAAGAGAAGACGAGTCCACCGCAAAGGCAGTGGTTGTCTGACACTAACTTACATTTCGCCGCCTATCCATTCAAAGCTGTTGACACAAATCAGATGAGTCTAGAATTTGGTCAACCCGTGGCAGTGCTTAAAGATCGAGACCTAAACGGCAACACCCAGTGGTGGTTCGTCGAGGACAGAGAGGGCCGTACGGGATATGTGCCCTCAAACTACCTACAAAAGTATCAAACAAAATGAATTCAATACTCTTTGACTCTAATTTTGAGAAAAATGTTTTTATGAATATGTATTCTTTAATACAAACAAATTTTGTTATTTTTCAAAAACAACCTCTTGTGTTTAATAGTATTCACCCATTTAATAATAGTTTTCCACATTTATAATCTCTCTCTCTCTCTCTCTCTCTCTCTCTTTGGATCAAATATTAGACACGAGTATTACGTCCTCTAAATTACCGAAAAGACGGCATAGATTTGGGCCGTCTTTTCGGAGTGTATGACATAATCATTCATCTCTTGTTTTGTATTCAATATTAACTATTTTTGTAAAATCAATTTAAATTCTGTCATTCATTTATTTTTGCCATTCATTGTCTATAAACTTTTGCCCACTTTTGCCCACTTTTGCCCACTTTTGCCCACTTTTGCCCACTTTACTTGTTTTACTGCCGATTGCCAAATAATGTGTGCTACACATTGCTGTACACATTGCTGCACACATATTGTCCCACAACCTAACCTAACCTCACCTAACGGTCTGTAAACAGATATTGTTTAGAATTTCTAAATTACAAAAGAAGAAAAACTTTGTCATGTTTTGTTGCATATATGCAATACTCGTTGACGTCATAAAAAACGTATGGTTTGTATGTAGGCTGGCCAACTCAAAAATTTGCAATAGTGGACAATTGCTATATTTTCCTCAAAAATATGGTAAAAATAGTGGACATATAGTGGACATATTTTTGGCTCTATTATTAGGTCAATCTTAGCTTCTAAACTAGTTAATAAACTATATGTATTTATAAATAACGATATATTTCATTATGTACACTAAAATGTGAACATTATTAGTACCTTTTAACAATAAATATTTCATTTTTAATAAGAAAATCACCATATTTATAATCATTTTTTGTTGTTTTTATTAAAATTATTTTAGATTTCTTAAAATCGAATATTGGGTAATTCAATGTCCACTATTTGGTCTCAATTCTTAGTGGACAGAAACCCAAAATAGTGGACTGTCCACTCAAATAGTGGACAGTTGGCCAGCCTATTTGTATGGTTTGTATTCATACATCTGTTTGGATGGCTTGTGTTGAGTCACTGTTGACGACTCGCCATTCAATACAAGCGATTAATATTTATACGTGATTTTGTTGACAACTAATACATGGCTTAGCATTTGGTCGACACAACTCTATAACAGTATTGCCGTTTCGATGACCACAACCGATGGCCCAACCGATGGCCCAACCGATGGCCACAACCCATGCCTTGTTTTTATGTAAAACGTGAGCAAAACTAATGATTTGAGTCATCTTTGAGTGAAGAATGGGGGAAATGTTGGCTCAAGTGATGATTGAAATGCGTTCACAACTCGACGATGAGATGGACTTATATAAGGATGAGTTACTTGTGATCACAGACTCGGCCGATAAGATGTACTTCAGAGGCCACTCCATGGATGGCATCCGTTCAGGACTTATACCCAAACGCTTCGTACATATTGTTGATCACAACTATCGGCCGCCGATAGACAGCATAGGTTTGTCTCATATTTTATAATTGATTTTTGAAAAGCCGTTGAATCTATGGTGAGAAGAGTCGGCAACTCTGCATAATCTGAATGTGATATTTATTGTGTTGTCTTATAACAATAGATGAAAACCATATGAATGTGGGAAATACGGCCTCAAATAATGGCGTGCATTACTCGGAGAGTCCGCCGTCTTATGAAAATGCAATCAATTCAAGCTATGCTTTGCCCGCATGTGTTGTATCGGCCGATTCTTTGGGCTATTGTAACGCATTGGTCGGTGACGTGCAGTCATACGGGCGGACATTATACGACTTCCACGCCGAGCACCCTGGTGAATTGAATCTACGCGATAACGAGATCGTTCATCTTATCCGACACATAGACCACGACTGGATTGAGGGCGAAATCGACGGCAGAATTGGTATTTTTCCCAAGAGTTTTATAGAGATTATAGTCGATTGCGACACAAATAACATTTTCACGTCAAGTGATGACAATGTTTGCGATAGTATTGGCCAACTCTTTCCGACCGATACTTTCGCCCGAGTTTTATACAACTTTGACGGCGAAATTGAAACCGATTTGAGAGTAAGTTTTAAAACAATTGACTTTCAAATTGTCCGCACCTTTCCTTCGCCTAATTGATATGATAATAGATTTATAAATTGCTTGTTTAGGTTCGAAAAGGGGATACATTAACATTGATCCGAATGGCGGACACCAATTGGGTCGAAGCCGTCGATGACGAGGGAAATGTGGGACTCATTGCTCGCAATTATATCGAACTAATGGACGAAATCTCATCCATTCATTCAATTAATTCATCGCGAAATGAGTTAACTTTCGATGAAACGCCTCATGATTTTCAACCCGTCCTCTCAAACAATGAAAACCATATTTATTTGAACGATACTTACATTAACGATAACCAAACACCAGTGATAACAACACCAGTGATGACACCAGTGATGACATTCTCAGACATTAAACCAGTGATTACAGAAAATGAAGTGAAAGACTTTGACACTAATGAAAACCACAACAATATTAGCATTAAAATGAGTGATGAGTCAACGCTTGAGCCGACATTATCCGTATTAACTCCGCGAAGGGCTGCGCCGGCCGTTCCTCGGGTGGCCGACTCGCAAATGGGAGCCGAAACGGGACTAACGCTACGCTCGACTAATATGTTTGTTCAGAGACCCCACAGACCGCCGCCACCCGTTCCTAAGCATAAGAAAAAATTGCGTTCGAGTAATGATAGCTTAGACATTGTTTACCTTAATCGACACGAATCCGTTCGCTCCAGCATTACATCGAATTCCAGTTCAGATACGACCTCAGAAGTGGCCACTAATCAAACCACAACCCAAGATCAGCGACGAGTTGACGATAGAAAGAAAAAGGTGATTTTTAAAGTGAATTATTTGAAAATAAAATTACATCGAATTCCAGTTCAGATACGACCTCAGAAGTGGCCACTAATCAAACCACAACCCAAGATCAGCGACGAGTTGACGATAGAAAGAAAAAGGTGATTTTTAAAGTGAATTATTTGAAAATAAAACTAATGTTAACTAATGTTAACTAATGTTAACTAATGTTAACTAATGTTAACGGATGCTTATAAATGTGTAGATACGACACATATGATAGGTGTTGAGCTCGCAAGACCTAAATGTGTTTTAATTATTAGATTGATACATTTATAGCAATGAACGAGTATTCCTTTTTCTCACCCCTCTATATGACAATAGTTTGTCTTTGAAATAATGCTCTTATCTTATGGATAATGTCTAACAAATAACTTATTTTAAATATAAAAATAGTTACACATTTGTTATTAATTTGTGTTTATTAACAATTAGTATATATTTGTTGCATATCGACGATAGAAATTATAATTAAATTTAATCGATTTGTTGTTTAGGTTCGGGAACAAAGAGGATGTGTTATAACCGAGTTATTGCAGACCGAAAGGGATTACCGGATGAATCTTGAGGTCTGCGCCAACATATTCCTCACCGACAGAGAAGAGGGCGTAAAAAATGGCATAGATTTGGGCCGTCTTTTCGGTAATTTAGAGGACGTAATACTCGTGTCTAATATTTTGATACAAAAACTGGAAGAATCGACATTAATGAAGAAATACGAGCACCAAATGATTGGCAAATGTTTTCTTGAAACACTGGACCAAATGAAAGTGGCGTATAGTTTGTATTGTGAGAATCACGACCAGTTGCAACCTCTTTGGATCANGTCGATTTCGCCCTCAATCCAGTCGTGGTCTATGTGTCGGATAAGATGAACGATCTCGTTATCGCGTAGATTCAATTCACCAGGGTGTTCGGCGTGGAAGTCGTATAATGTCCGCCCGTATGACTGCACGTCACCGACCAATGCGTTACAATAGCCCAAAGAATCGGCCGATACAACACATGCGGGCAAAGCATAGCTTGAATTGATTGCATTTTCATAAGACGGCGGACTCTCCGAGTAATGCACGCCATTATTTGAGGCCGTATTTCCCACATTCATATGATTTTCATCTATTATTATAAGACAACACAATAAATATCACATTCAGATTATGCAGAGTTGCCGACTCTTCTCACCATAGATTCAACGGCTTTTCAAAAATCATTATAAAATATGAGACAAACCTATGCTGTCTATCGGCGGCCGATAGTTGTGATCAACAATATGTACGAAGCGTTTGGGTATAAGTCCTGAACGGATGCCATCCATGGAGTGGCCTCTGAAGTACATCTTATCGGCCGAGTCTGTGATCACAAGTAACTCATCCTTATATAAGTCCATCTCATCGTCGAGTTGTGAACGCATTTCAATCATCACTTGAGCCAACATTTCCCCCATTCTTCACTCAAAGATGACTCAAATCATTAGTTTTGCTCACGTTTTACATAAAAACAAGGCATTGGTTGTGGCCATCGGTTGGGCCATCGGTTGGGCCATCGGTTGTGGCCATCGAAACGGCAATACTGTTACACTGTTATAGAGTTGTGTCGACCAAATGCTTAGCCATGAATTAGTTGTCAACAAAATCACGTATTAATCGCTTGTATTGAATGGCGAGTCGTCAACAGTGACTCAACACAAGCCATCCAAACAGATGTATGCATACAAACCATACAAAACATACAAACCATACGTTTTTTATGACGTCAACGAGTATTGCATATATGCAACAAAATATGACAAAGTTTTTCTTCTTTTGTAATTTAGAAATTCTAAACAATATCTGTTTACAGACCGTTAGGTGAGGTTAGGTTGTGGGACAATATGTGTGCAGCAATGTGTATTGATTATAGCACACATTATTTGGCAATCGGTAGTAAAACAAGTAAAGTGGGCAAAAGTGGGCAAAAGTGGGCAAAAGTGGGCAAAAGTGGGAAAAAGTGGGCAAAAGTAGGCAAAAGTGGGCAAAAGTTTATAGACAATGAATGGCAAAAATAAATGAATGACAGAATTTAAATTGATTTTACAAAAATAGTTAATATTGAATACAAAACAAGAGATGAATGATTATGTCATACAC